TGATTTCTTTTTGTGGCCTTACCTTAAAAACACTATTTTTGAACTGCCTATTCCTGATTTAAACCATCTGCAGGCTCGACTTATAGACAAGATTCGTGAAATTAACAATACCCCGAGCATCTTAGAAAATGTCTTTAATTCTTTGAGGAACAGGTGTGAAAAGTGCTTGGAACAAGGAGGGGGACACTTTCAGCAGCTGCTTTAATTTATTGTTATAACAAGGAGGGGGACACTTTCCGCAGCTCCTTTAATTGTTTGTTATTGTTATCACGATTATTCTTTAAAATAAAGTTATATAGTCATTAACGTTATTGAAACTGACAGCTGCTATACAGCTCGTTGAGAAATGAGGTTAAGTTGGTCGCTATAAGCTACTCCCTACGTCCAATGTGTCAGAGCCAACTTCGACCACGTTTTTATTTGAACGCTCGTTATTTTAGAACACGTTTCTTATTGGTTTCTTGCAAATAAGTTGATGCTAAATTGCAATAAAACTAACAGTATAACATTTCAATTACGTGGAATTACAGACACCTCTTCAAAATTAAATAGTGATCAAATATGCTCAGTACAATCCACAAAATTTCTTGGCATTTATGTCGACTCGCAATTAAATTGGATGGAGCACATAATCAATTTAAAGACAAAGTTAGGGAAAGCCATACTAACTGTTAAATGAAATGTCGAGTTTTCCATAGCAAAGATTGTTTATTATGCATATTTCCAGAGTGTATTGCAATATGGAATTGAGCTTTGGGGAGGATCTACTAGTTCTGAAGATGTATTCCTGGTACAAACAAAGGCAATAAGAATTTACCCCATAGGGAATCTTGCAGAAGTTATTTAAAAAATATTGGAATCTTTACCCTTACTAATCTATATGTTTACAAATTATCTATTTTAATTCATAAAAATAAACATTTGATCAACACATCAAGTGAGTAAAGTTTTCAAGCGAAAACTAAAAATCCTTTTACGAGGTCGTGAATTCTATTCTTTAAATGAATTTTTTATCAGTGCACCCTAAGGTAATAAGAGTGTATCACATGGATGCGAAATACATAAATATGTGTCTGTTTATTTACTGTCAATTTTTATTATCTTTGTATTTTTAATGTTTAGCTGTAAGTTTGTTGTACTCTATAGGTATTTTTTCTCTTATTTTTTTTAAATTTTACATTCTTTCAATTTTTGGGGCAAAAACGCTATGTAAATATGTTGGTATACTTACTTATTATTTATTGTCAACACAACACTTTCCTTACACCTTTTCTTTAATTAGTTTTTTTTATGTTATTCTTCTATACCTATATTCTTCGGATATAGGTGAATTAGCCTAAATCTGCCTATTTTGAGTCCACGAATCTGTAGTTATTCTCAACCCCTGACTTCTCCTTTTTGGCGCAGATATAACCATTTAACTTTTTTGTTTCCAATGTGACACAAACAACCCAACAGAATACAAAGACCAACTCAAAACGCCGCAAATAAATCACGGATCCTCACCTCTCCATCACCCCCTACTAACGCTCCATACAACCTAACACCTCCATGGTACCACATTTCGCTCACCCGGCATACCCCCTACTCGCGCTCTCGGTCATAATATCATTCGCCAGCGCACATTACATAAAACTTTTTAATGCACGGCTCAGATTGCAGAACATGTGTCCGAGAGAATAAAAAAAAATAAACGCCAGACGCCGTCGCATTCGGGTGGGTGTCCGCTAAGTGTGCTAATGATTGGAAGTGTACTGGTGAATCCTTCTTCGGGAGTCCATTGGGATTCACACGCGGGGATGGAAGTTGTGCAATAAGTCTTCGATCACTAATGGCTAGCGCGTATTGGAGTAACTGTTATAGGGTAAGTGAATGTATCGAATTGTCATTGTCGGACACTGCTTTGAATATAAAGGATATAATCGCTTAAGAACGTTGATTTTCTCGAAAATATACAGTGTGTCCACGGGAGGAGTTACAAAAGGCCAATCTTGTTAAAACAATTGTGTTCGCGTGCTAAATGTAGTTCATTATTAGTTTGTTCTATCGTCACTTGTCATTTTAGTGCTATAAGGTATTTTAAAGTTGTTTTAATCTACGTCCATTAAAAAATATCAGTCAATATGGGAAACATATTCATTGAATTTTACTGTATACCCATTTGTTTTTGGGCCACTCTGTAGATTCTTTATTTATTGCGCGATTTTAACCGGATTTTTTTAAGATGTAGAGCTTGATGAAGTGCGCTTGGTGAAGGAAAATGAGCGTGATTTCACAAAATCCAAGGCGTACTTCTTTCGTTTTTAGGAGTAACATTATAATATTGAGAATCCAGAATTCATTATAAACGCAGTCAGTATTCGCAAAAAGTTAATGTTTGGTGTGGAATATTAAATTACAGAATAATTAGCCATTTCTTTTTTGACGGCAATTTGAATGCGAATAGATTTCTAAATTTTCTTAATAATGAATTTCGGAAAGCAATAGATGATTTGCCTTTTAGGCAAGACGAAAACCTCGCATTCGTGGGAGAAATTTTCCGACTCGATTTTTTTGCATATTCAGATTCGTGAGATGTTCCTTAACGTGAATCGAGATGATGCCGGCCAGAAATCTGGTGCCCATTTGTCTAAACACTTTTTTTAAACAAATTGTAAAAATTGTTTTTTTTGCTCCGGAAAGTGCGATGCTACATAAATTTATTTAACGAGTTTTTCAAAATCAAACCCATTGCAACTTTTAACAAGTCAAATTTTAAAAAACTCGTGCATTCCTCCACGTCCTTATGCCTGATAAAATCATTTCAGAATGCATTTCTCTTGCGAACGCTGGTAAATCCGCGATTGCCGAGCCTATTACGACACGGTTTTTGAAATAATGTTAACATATTTCGTAATGTCTTTACCGATATTGTTATCAAGACAGAAGGTTAGAATAACACTGTTACTTAGCGCAATTATGATATAAAAAATCACTTTCTATACCTACTTGAAAATGTCAGATAAACATAGACAAATTCGTGTGGTGAGCAATAATGTACATATACAGATGTACACATATTGTTATTGTGTGAAGTTATTAATTTGTTGCACAATTTCCGTTTTTTTTTCTTATTTATTGGGACATTGGGACACTGTATAACTTGAAAAAGGATCAATAGGCTATTGATTATATCCAAAAAAACAGGGTTAAAAGGAACTACGACGTTCAAGCAACTTTATTGCATGAATCTTTCAAAGGGTCATTTTAGATGAAAAAACCGCTGAGTGCTATTAAATGAGAGGGTGGAAATTGGAGATAGGGGTGAAAATGCGTCCCTTTCAGTTTTTTTAATTGTAGCTCGAAAACGAATCAAAATTTCGCTATAGTTCATAAGAAAACTTTTGTAGAGAATTGAATTTCTCATCGAAATGGCTCATTTAAAAAATGTAATAGGAAAATATTATACAAAAAATCGTTAATAAACAATTTTAAAGAAAGCAAAAAATTAGATTTTTTGATTTTTTAAATCTTTTAATAAAATAATCTAGTAAAAACCTGAGAATTTAAGTACAATAAAGTTTATTAATTAGAAACTCTTTTGTTTTTGACTTTATCGAAAAATGTCCATATTTGAGGTGGGAAGTAGCTATACATATAGAGTAAAAGTCAGAATTGAAATTTTGATTTTAAAATTTGTATTAGGACATTATTTGAGGTTATAAACAGATTTGTTATATAAAAATGTGTAAAATAATAAATAATGGTACTTCTCTCTTGAGTATTTTCTTGTTTTTTTATGAGCACCTTGTATATCTAATCTAAGATGTTTGTATGACAGTCTCATTTTTTCGAGGGGCACAACTTTTTATAAAGAGTGAAATTTTTCGATAATGTCAAAAACAAGAGTTTCTCCTATTGTCAACTCCATCCGTGGACACACTGTATATACCTACATTATTAATAAACTTCATTGTTCTTAAATTCTCAAGGTTTTACTAAATTATTTTATTAAAAAAAGTAAAAAAAAATCAAAAAAAAATATTTTTTGCATTCTTTAAAATTGTTTATTACCTAACGATTTTTTTGCATAAAATTTTCCTTTTAAATTTTTTAAATAAGCCATTTCGATGGGAAATTCAATTTTCTAAATAATTTTTCCCATGAACTATAGCGAAATTTTGCTTCGTTTTCGAGCTACAATTAAAAAACTGAAAGATTTTGCTTCTTTTATTCCTTTTTATTAACCGAAAATGTTTTTTTTTGCAAAAACCCATATTTTTTCATAAAAAAATGTTGACTATTGAAAAAAGAAAAAAAGTTTGTATCTCTCATATAAGGCGTTTAGAAACCAAGTTTATCGAACTTTTCTTCTTGAATTGGTCCAGGGAAACACCCCTGAAATATTTTTACGTGTGGCTTATAAGACCCTATATAACAAAAAATCTGACTAAAGCATCTCCTAACGAAAATAAAGCATGTAAACTTAGGTTTATATCTTAATACCAAAATGCTTCCCAAAAAAAAAGGTTATTAAAGATTTGTTTTTAATTTTATTACTAAATTGTTTTAATTGCTTAAAATATTTAATTATCTAGAAAGGGCTCTTCCTTAACAATACCCTGGCATAAGATTTGATAGGTCTACCTCTAATAATAAGAGGGATAAGGTCAAAAAACATTTATTGATACCACAGTCTTTTGGTCGTACCTTATTAGAGATAGACCTATCAAGCCTTACATCATTGAAATCCTCAGCAAGCACTCTATATAAATATGTACATACAGGGTGTTTTACAAAAAAGAATACATAAGTTTGGTTTATATGTCGGATATGCAACATTATTTGTTTTTCAAATCACAAGAAAATTTCCTACAACATTAGTTCATCTAAATATGAAAGCAACAAAGCTAAGGCAGAGTGCGAACGTTATATTAAAAAAATCCTTCGAAAAATGGAATATTATAATGTTCTACTGCAGTTGTCAGTTACCAAAGTAGATAAATTACGATTTATTTATTATTATCTGAAAACGTCAATCTACACTCAGTGTACAGGCTGGTCCATTTTCGATAGGAATTCAGGGTATTTCAGAAACTGCTAAAGATATGATCAATCTGACACGACGTTCTCGAGCTCGATTTTCATGGCAAACTCGATTGTCAAATCAGAAATTTGCTATCTTCATTTGTTTCTGAGTTACAGGACGTTTCTTGTTATTGTGACACTTTTGAATATGTCTGTATCTCAGCTGTTAAATAAATTAGAGTTAAAGTAAAAACTGCTCAAGACTAATTCTTTGGCGTAGAATTGAATGCCGATATTAGATTTTTAGTGGATCTTAAGATTTCGAAGTTATGACCCAAAGTTATATTTTTTTAAATGGAAATCGTAGCTGACCATGGCCTAAAAGTATAGAGATTTTTTTTTGCTTTTTAGGAATATATCACATACTATAGTTATTTTAACAAACACAGGAGATACGGGGTGTTTTATATATAAATTATATATGTTTTAACTATAATTCCTACTATTACAAAACTCATATCTGTTGTAAAAATATGACGTTTATTTTAAATGCACAACATATATTCGTATGATAATATAATACTAACGAAGTTTTAGGAGATAGGTGGATAGGAACAAACGGACCGATCAGAAGACCATCTAGGTTACGTGATTTGAGTCCATTGGATTGGAATCTTAAGACCTACTAAAAATCTAATACCGGCATTCAATTCTACGCCAAAGAATTAGTCTTAAGCAGTTTTCTATTTAACTCTACCTTATTTAACAGCTGAGATACAGACATATTCAAAAGTGTCACAATAACTAGAAACGCCCTGTAACTCAGAAACAAATGAAGATCGCAAATTTCTGATTTGACAATTGAGTTTGCCATGAAAATCGAGCTCGAGAACGTGTTGTCAGATTTATCATATCTTTAGTAGTTTCTGAAATACCCTGAATTCTCACCGAAAATGGACCAGCCTGTACAGTACAGTCTTCTAAATGTAGTACCGCAAAACTAAATTCACAGAACTGTTTTTACTATCAGGCGTCGACTTTTGAATGGTCCAAACAGTAAAAAATATTTAACTACACCCGAAAAGCTGCTTCGTTTCCCTAAGAACACGACTAAAAGTAAAAACCAAGACATCTAGCTATTTCTCAAGACTTCGCCTTCGCAGATTGACGCAAGTACCTTTCTCTGAAGAAGTTTTCAAAATTTTTTTAACCAATCGACCGTGAAAGGCTCTTCGACGCGTGAAGTCTGAGAACCGCACTAAATATGGCAAATATCTGGGCCATATAGACGCGGTTACTTAACACTTGAAATAAATTATTACCTCAAAATTCATGATGTACCAAGTACCACGTGGATGTTAAGCGATGGCAAGGTCGATACATCAAATTGAAGCCGTAAACACAACTTTCCTTTATTGCCACACCGTGAACTGGTATTTTAACGGGTTTTTGAAAATTTGCAATACTGTTGGGAACAGCTACGCTTTGCTTGGACTGAAAACAATTCGACTGAAAAAAAGTTTAACTAAACCACTTAGTCCAAGCATTCTGTCACGGATTAATGTTAAATTTGCAGAAATTATTACCTGGACAAAAAAAATATGACCGTATAGAAAATTAAATTTTAAATTGAGTTTCTTGTTCTTTAAACTCGATCCAATATGGCGAACATGGTTAAAAAAAATCGCAAAGTTGAAAAAAACGGTTTTTCTAAAATAACTAAAAAAATATAGCACGGATTGAAAAATTTTAAATGAGAAAGTTGTAGGTTTTAAAAAGATCTATCGACTGATTTTTTGAAAGTATCGATTGCTTTGTTACTTTTCGAGATATATCGAAAAAACCGTTAAAAATCTT